GCTTTTAAGTTTGAACACCATTCCAGGTACATCACAGCATGTCCGTTTGATGTTTGATGAAATGACACCAGTTTTACACGTTTTACCTCTTTTGTGAAACCCAAGAGGACGGATATAGTGAAAAAAAATCTAAAAGCATAAGGCAAGTCGGATTCGAACCCGTGGTTGTAACTTTGCGGCTCACCAAATTGACGCAACTCGACACAGTGACTCTGCCGGATCCCCACATAATCGCACCCCTCCTCACAGACACTCCCATCCAAACCCACCCCTTAAAGATTATGAACATGCACATGTTTCCGTTTGTTTCAATTCAGTAATAACGGCTACACAATAGTTTGGCATTTTCTTCTGCCTTAAATGGATACCAGTATGTGCACGATGTAACTGAACTTCTATGGAAAGCATCAAACTCGGTCAACTTCCATGTAGTAACCATATCGTCTCATCATTGAGGATTGTATACATACACAATATATATTTTGAGAATAGAGATAATATTAAATATATTTATTTATCAAACCTAAGATTATATATCTAATGTGAGTAAATAAAATTAGAAAAAGACTCTATAAGTTGACCTATTGTAGCTCGTTTAGATCACGTACGTGCGTGCAAGGGCTGTCAAAAGCAGAGGATGTTTTAGTTTGATGCAACACGTATTTATCGTCAACCAAACCCTTATGAGTGTATATTTAGATTTAGTGATTCGAAACTTCAAACTTCAAAAGGGGATTATTTATTGTGGTATAATAACGTATTTATTTCAAATATGTACATGTATATTCATTTTTGTAACTGATATAATAAAATCGTTTATAAGACACTGTGTCCATTTTACAATGATCATTTTGATTTTCATCACTAAATGTATCTTTGACAAAATAACCTCATTCGTGACATACATTAACATTGTAATTCCCTTTGAGTATTAAATTTCTCAAATTTGTTTGCTTGATGTTATGTCCAAGAGATCATTCTGCACAAAAAACGATAATGAAATATAGAATAGCCTTATAACTAAAATTTACCAAAAATATATCACATTTAGTCAATTGAATTTTAATGTCATCACAGCCAAAACATGAGTTTATAATAATAAAATGTGATGAGATGGGTATTGGTGGGTTATTATGTAAAACTACATGACCTCTGACCTATCATGTCTCCTAGGAAGGTCATGTACTGGCCCTGTTCCGTGCAGGTAGCTGCTGGACGTACCTGTAAAACGGTTAAAGCAGCATCAAGGATTGGCTAAAACAGAAGCACACATGACATGAACTTCCAAGATCACTTTATTCATAACATGTTGTTATGACGTCATCGTAATCAGCATGATTGAGGTTTCCCGCCACAGTCAGCTGTATTCAGATGTATCACATCGATAAGTCATGACAGCTAGATAATGTGGTGCATTTTTTTACTACATTGCAAAAAATGTGTAAATCAACGTAAGCCAATGATGGAACATCTTACGGCTCTCAATATTGACCTCTCATTGATGACCTCTCATGACTCGAAGATGTCATGGGAGCAGAGAAACAACTCGTTCTTCGAACTCGTTGTTTCTCTGCTCCCATGACATGTTCTGGTTCAATACAAAACATCCAAATGCACTAGTATGACGTTCTGTATATTTATACAATTTTAGAAACTTAGCAAACCTTTATGATAGGCAAGACGTAGATGGGACTAGTTGCCCGAACACCTATTAAACTTTTAATGATCAATTAATCAACGCTGTTATGAAGGAAAAGCAAGTTCTATGGATAGTCAGCTTCTTTACTGCAATGAGTGCGACGTTTCGGTGTAGGTACTAACGCCGTTATCAAACAAGTGATGATAACAAGCTGCCATAGAGTCAAGTAAATCAGAAGGCCTGGCCATCCGATCACCAATCTACTCGTCTTTCATAACAAGCAAAGTGTACAGTATTTTGCCATAAAAAGCAAAGCCGTGACAATGAGTCGCCCATTCAAAAGTCTGGAATGTTGCAAGAAATCGGTTTCTACAGTAATGTGTCTCACTGGACTAATTGCATTACATACATTGCAAATGAATAATGCTTTACTCGAAGTCATTGTCACCATCCAAACACGTTGAACTATTTGTAGTTCGGGTAAAACGGGGTAAGAAAGTAACCAACGTAGGCATGTAACTCATCGATTCTGGTGCATGCCACTAAAGGATTGGTATGGGGGTTTTCAGATGGGCAACCAAGTTAGAATGCCCTACCAACCGATCCATTAGGTCACTTCTTACAAACAGGAAATTGGGGAACCAATAGCTTGAAGGTGTCTGTCCCACGTTGGCACACGAGGTGGCAGCGTTTGTTTCCAAACTATTTCAGGGCATGCATATTTTCATTTTACAATAAGTGAAACAGATCACAGCCTGTTGGATCCAGTAAGTGATATCTTACGACCAGCAGGTTGATGGTGACGGATTCTAACCCTGAGTCCCCCGGTTCTGATTTTGGAGCCGTACTTTAAAGAAGGTTCTCATGACTTATCGTTTTCGCATTGAACGCTGGCAGTCAACACGACACAGAACATCCATACCGAGCTATCCAAACTGGTTAGTTCAAGATTTAGTGTAGCACGACTAAATTCGAAATGCAAAACATTTTTGTTTGTTTGTTGTACCGCGTCAAAATAGCAAAAAAGGCAATATCCCGTACTGGTATCATTTAAATAAAGAACCGGGAGCACCTGTTTTCCTACACAATGGCTACCTATCAGACAATGCTATATTTTGCGTGACAAATTGAATGTATCTTGTACCCGCGACGTCATGGGCGGGTACATACAGCACCTGGCTTTGTCTGGTGGACAGAAACATGATCACACTTAAACAAACATATTTGTGCTTTTGAACTACATGTATAGCCTATCCGCGAAGATCCGGGTTAGAATTGTTCTTCAGTAACCCACGCTTGTCTTAAGAGGCGACTAACGGGATTGGGTGGTCAGGCTCGCTGACTTGGTTAACACATGTGATCGTATCCCAGTTGCGTAGATCGATGCTCATGATGTTGATCACTAGATTGTCTGGTCCAGACTCGATTATTTACTGGAATAAAGTGCGGCGTAAAACCCAACTCACTCACTCACTCACTTCAGTTATAGCCGCAGTGACACACATCTGCCTAGCGTGGTGAGTGAGTGAGGCTACGAAGAATATGGCATGTCAGCTTGTGGGAGGAATGTCCGAAGTCATGCCGACGTCTCAGACGTTTACCACCTTTGAGTGAGTGAGTGAGTTTAGGTTTACGCCGCAACCAGCAATATTCCAGCTATATGGCTGCGGTCTGTAAATAATCGAGTCTGGACCAGTCAATCCAGTGATCAACAGCATGAGCATCGATCTACGCAATTGGGAACCGATGACATGTGTCAACCGATCCCGTTAGTCGACTCTTACGACAAGCATGGGTTACTGAAGATCAATTCTAACCCGGATCTTCACGGGTCTTACCACCTTTGAGAGGTCATAGATGATATATGCAAGTCTAACTGACACAACACGGAACTAAGGCACATTAGATGACTTGGCCACCGGCCTCCGTACTGTACCCGTTAGAAGTAACATTCGCCACTTTGAGGAACAGTTAGGGATGGTGCTGACACATCTTAACAACATAATCTGGGATTCGAACCCATGATCATAGGTTTCTGTGTCCCTAGTCAATTTTGAAAATACCTAGACATAATGCCGGTCGTATATATACACTGACGGTAAGAAAGTATACAGTTTAATTTCTGATTTGACAAGAAATTACAAACTTTATCAAAACATTACTAGGCTGAAAACAGTCCCGAAACAGAACTAAGACACCCGTATTAAATACATCACCAGTGTATAACGAGTTCCTGTTTGTTTTATTCTAGCCAACATTAAACACGGGTATATATTGTCTGTTACTCGCCAGATAATGTTATATGTGGCCTACAGCAGTAAGACTGTTAGAAGTGGTAGACACTGCCAGATTGACGTGGGGTATAGAAAGAGTCCAAGGGGCACAAGCGCATTGACAAGATCCCAGTCTAACTTCTCTCTTGAAACCACTCGCAGATAAGGGAATTACATTGTAAATAAAAGTAGGAATACTGCGTGTCTAAATATTTGTGTTTGAAGTGGAATACTTACTAAAAAATTTCACTGTGAAAGTGGGGGTGGGGGTGGGGGAGACAGAGACTCCAATGGTCTGTTCATACTTTCACGGAGTGAGTGAGAGGGGTGAGAGAGGGAGAAGGCATTATTGAACACATGCATTATCCTTGTTTTTACTCTGGGGTTGAAAGGTTCGGGGGAGAGGGAGAAAAGGTCGAGGGAGAGAGGGGATAAGAGAGACAGGGAAACAGAGAATGGGAGAGGGGAAGAGAGTGAGTGTAGGCGCGAGACGGAGAGGTGTGTATGTGGGGTGGGGTGGGGAGTGGGGGTCTAGAGGTAAAACTGAAGAATGAACAAATACAAATTCAATATTATTCAATTCCTCTGAGAGAAGGGGTCACATCTTTACATAAGGGAACTCAAATAACATTATTCAAGTACCAACTATCGTAATCAATCATAAAAACATACAACCTAGTCTTAAATCAAATATACAAAGTTGTCTTTTCACTTGATATGAACACACACACCTGTTTATGATTAAATACAAGTGAAATAAAAAAGTACAGAAGCCCTGCACTACGTTGTCAATACAAATGTATATCTCAGTATCAGACTCTTGACTTGCAACGATTGATAGCAGAGTTTCACGCATATAAAGACAGGCCTCCGTTGAATCTGAAGACCGGCTGGTACCCTGTTTTAATAGTTAGAGAACGTTAGAGTACAGCGTCTAGAGAGATATATGGCCTGAGCGCAAAACAAACACAGTGATAGGGTCTGTAAAGCCACAGGTGACACACTCGAAGCTGACACTCGATACTACCTGCATTTTCTCAGCGACGAAAAAATGCATTTGATATTCACTGTGGGGTTTCTTACGTAGAGTGGTATTGCTGTGCATTGCTGTTACGGGTGTGTTGTTTGAGTTACGGTTATACGTAACAAGAAGGATTGTAGCTAAATTGGACTGTGTAAGGTAAGAATTGTGTTGTTTGTTGAAATGTTATTAGAGTGTTGTTTTGTAACAATTTGAACACGAGTTATTATTCACGCAAAAAGCCTATATAAAGTGTTATTATTTTACAAGAATGTTGTCCTGAAATATTATAGGGCAGTGTGTGTGTGTGTGTGTGTGTGTGTGTGTGTGTGTGTGTGTGTGTGTGTACATACGGTCTGTCTTCCTTTATATTATAAGATTTCCTTTCAACATCTTGAAAAATTGCAGCATTTCCATACATTCACAGTCAATAAACCTTCATTAAAATAGGCAAGTACAATAAACATGCAGATGTTTAGTGTATACAATATACGTAGCCATGAATAATAATATAAGCATATGTTAGTCTATAAACCGCCCAAACCAACTATTTCTCAGCGTGTTATTACACACAATTACAGACAAAGGATCGCAAGGACAAAGTCATAGGTTTCTTTTCTGTAATGATAGCAATTTGAAACTGTCCTTTAGAAAAGAATTATGTAAAGATATCTAAATCAAATTATCAATACCTTCGCTGACAAACGTTCCCCTAAAGACAGCAGCACATACACGCATTGCTTTAATACTCCCCACGGAAATACCACCTGTTACCTCCTGCCGAGATCAAATGTAATCCCTTGGGTTCGGTCCGACTACAGTGTGATAAAACTGGATTTACACTGCAAATCCAGTCAAGATCTTTACAGCTGAGAACACATTGGTGAGATGAAGAATTCACGTAATGTCACTGATGTCATTAGATTGTTTCATCTTAGGAAGACATCACAACAGATCAGTTTTATAGATCTCTTTAATATTGCCTTCAGGTGTACACTAAATACACCTGTTGTTGGATCCTGGTCAGTGTAGGTCTCCAGCCATCGTGCCTGTAGTGAGAGCCGATCAAACTGGGGATTGGGTGGTTTCCTGCCATCATGCATGTAGTGAGAGCCGATCAAACTGGGGATTGGGTGGTTTGTAGCCATCATGCCTGTAGTAAAGGCCGACCAAACTGGGGATTGGGTGGTCTCCTGCCATCATGCCTGTAGTAAAAAAGCCGACCAAACTGAGGACTGGGTGGTCCCCTGCCATCTTGCCTGTTGTGAGAGCCGAACAAACTGGGGATTGGGTGGTCAGTGTAGGTCTCTTGCCATCATGTCTGTAGTAAAAGCTGACCAAACTGGGGATTGGGTGGTCTCCTGCCATCTTGCCTGTAGTGAGAGCCGACCAAATTGGGGATTGGGTGGTCAGTGTTGGTCTCCTGCCATCATGCCTGTAGTGAGAGCCGAACAAACTGGTGATTGGGTGGTCTCCTGCCATCATGCCTGTAGTGAGAGCCGACCAAACTGGAGATTGGGTGGTCAGTGTAGGTCTCCTGCCATCGTGCGTTTAGTAAAAGCCGACCAAACTGGGGATTGGGCGGTCTCCAGCCATGATGCTTTTAGTAAAAGCCGACCAAACTGGGGATTGGGTGGTCTCCTGCCATCATGCTTTTAGTAAAAGCCGACCAAACTGGGGATTGGGTGGTCTCCAGCCATGATGCTTTTAGTAAAAGCCGACCAAACTGAGGATTTGGTGGTTACGCTGCGTGCCGTTTTTTAACTGCATCACAGCTCATTCTTTTAGTCAGCTCTGTATTCGGTCAAGACTCGATTTACAGACCACCGGGCAAAAAAGTGATAAACCAGTGTTTCATGTTGGTTATACTTGGTACAAACATCTTATCAGACACAATGTAACATAGCTTCATCACTGTAACACAATTACGATGGATTACATAGCATTATAACAATTAACACAACATTATAACAAAGACTCACAGAGATTGCATGATGACTATTGCACTATTGTTTGTGTTATTGCGTAGGTGTAGAATATCAAACTGTCTACAGCATTGTATTTCATGTAATGAATAACATTTTACGTGGTCCATTAATGATTTCAGGCCAGGCACCAATTAGCTAACTGTACATGCTACCTTGTCATTGTGTTACAGTGAGTGAGTGAGTGAGTTTAGTTTTACGTCGCACTCGGCAATATTCCAGCTATATGGCGACGGTCTGTTATTAATCGAGTCAGGTCCAGACAATCCTGTGATCAACAGCATGAACATCGATCTACGCAATTCGGATACCATTGTGTTATAGCATTCGTGGTACAAGTACATGTAAGTTTGTTCGTTCGTTCGTTCATTCTCACCCTCTCTCTCGCCACCCGCGTTAAAATCGAGATAAAAAATTTCGACAAAGAAAACGAAGCAACAAAAGTGTTGTCTATTAAAATTCGCGGACTTTCTCACCAATGTGTCTCAACGTCTCAACTACAAACAAAAGAAAAAAGAAAATCGCCAAGAATCGTATTTACGTTTTCCAGTTGAACATTTCATCAAGGCAATGTGGACATTACGTCAACGTTGGATCGACTGGTGAACACTTAGAGATACTACCACCATGACGTGCACCAACTTCCCCCCCCTGCCGCCCTCAACGCCCGCATGGTGAGGAATGGCAACATCGTCGACTACTACTGTGCCGCAGGCTTCTCCATGACTTCAGGTTCCCTCAGAGCCACGTGTGTGAACCCCAACACCTGGTACCCTGACACGCCCCCCGTGTGTACAGTTATCAAAACTACCCCGGATGACGGTAGGTCGTATCTGTTGCTTATTCTTGACGTTCTATACGTATTTGAGTGAGTGAGTGTGGTTTTACGCCGATTTAGCAATATTCCAGCAATATCAATGCGGGGACACCAGAAAAGGGTTCACACATTGTACCCAATGTCGGGAATCGAACCCGGGCCGTCGGGGTGACGAGCGAATGCTTTAACCACTAGGCTATCCCATCGCCTCCCATATTTATTCAAACACAGAAACTTTAAGAAATTGAGTAGTCGTAAACATCCCGAACAGCATCTGCAACAGCTTTTTGTACATTTTATCGACGTCATCACAGTCGTCATGATGTTCATCGTAATCTCCATATCGGACAGGGGCGGTGGGGTAGCCTAGTGGTTAAAGCGCCCACCCGTCACGCCGAAGACCTGGGTTCGATTCCCCACGTTGGCGCAATATGTAAAGCCCATTTATGTGATAGTGTTGGAATATTGCTAAAATCATCGTTAACCCATACGCTCTCACTCATATCGAACAAATTGCCATCATATTGATGTCGGCTCTGATATCTGTCTCCATCATCACCGTCATCTTCTTCATCAGTTGTATTCCTAGGAAGCAAGTGACCTTGTCATCTACCTCAGTTGCTTGGTGTGGTCATCGGGCTTGCAAGATATCATCTTTGGTCTCTCAAACGCGGTTAACGCCTGAAACCCGCACCAATTCATGCTTTACCCCCCACACTAAGCTGACACGGTCTGATGTAACCGGGGCGGTGGGGTAGCCTAGTGGTTAAAGCGTTCGCTCGTCACGCCGAAGACCCGGGTTCGATTCCCCACATGAGTACAATGTGTGAAGCCCATTCCTGTTGTCCCCCGCCGTGATGTTGCTGGTATATTGTTAAAAGCGGCGTAACACTAAACTCACTTACTCACTCATGATGTAACTGAAGTACTGTTCGAAAGGGCGTTGACTTCAGCTCACTCACCCACAAATCCCTTGTTTTTCGGGAACATCGCCCTATTATGGACAAAGACGACGTTCAACTTTCGTCAAAGTTTCATCCACAAAGCGACCGTAAATCTATGTTAATGTATGGAAGTTACGATCCACTTAGCGTTACGATCGCTTTGTGGATCTGGCCACAGATAAGTTTCTGTCAGGGGTTGTGGATTATAGAAAGATCATTTTTGAAGAGCGAGAGCTCTAACCACAAACCTAAGCTACCAGTTCCTTACAGAAGTATATGGGTTGTACGTAAGGATATCTGTACCTGAATGGACTCAATGGAGGTCGCCATGGGAGCTATATTGATTTTGTAGACTTACGTCCCTTGGGTACGTCGGGATCCGCCGAACAGAGGTTCGATTATATTTTCGTGTAAGTAAATGTATGATTCATGTCCCATGCTGATTGATACTGATGACGATGTTGCAGTTGTACCGCTGTGGGTCCCCATAACGTGCGCCATCCTTCTCTCACTGATCGCGGCGACGTGTCTCGCCCTCGCCTGCTACTACTGCTGCTGCCGGTACTGTGAACTCTGGCACCTTCACACTCACAGGAAATAATTAGGGGCCCAGGGAAAGTCTAGCCCTATATAACCTACTCATGTAACGAATAAGGGAAATCAGTAAATCGATGTGAAGAATTAGACACTGCTAGGACCGAAGGTTCATCTTAAAGAATCCTTTCTCTGACATATATAATTTTCAGATCAACTGGAATAAAGTACATGTATATATATTGGGTTAAATATAAACTGAGAATCAAACGACATACTTTCCGTTGGGTAATTGAACAAGACCATTTGAAATGTACACCTATTTGTCCTATTTTATGGACGCTTCTAGTACTGCGTCACGCATTTTAGACAAGTGAACTTTTATATATATATATATGCTCACCCTTAATGAATACTACTCATATTTTTATTTTGTTAATATATTACATGAATGGGTGTTTTTATAAGACGAATATTTTTAAGCTGGAATAGAAAACAAAATAGTATGCTTTATAATACACAAAATGCTATTTATTTGTATTGTTATTGTTCCAGCGGAAGATGCTGCGCTAACTATAACAGAATCAGAGCTTCCACGGCCAGCATCCATGACGACGGTTACTATGACAACAAGGGTCACTATGGCAACCAGCAGTACAAAGGAGATGGTTACTATTATGACGATAGATATACTTACAGGAAGAGTGAGCCAGGGCGGAATCATGACGGGCCATATATCATTCCTGTCAGTAACAGACAACACCAGGTACATATGTTGCTTCCCGGGGGAAGGGAGTAAACTGACCACACGAGTTATGCCCCTTCTATGTCCCTGCTATTGGCCAATCAGATTTTACTTACCATAATACTTACAGTTCCTTCAGACCAAGTGGCAGCGCCCTCTCAAGACTGATTGATAATGATGATCTTTATGGTGATATAGGTCTTACCTCGCGAAAGGCTTCACTTCGCACCTTCATGTTAAAAACATGAAAAGATAGGGGAAAACATCTTTCTACGCCCAGTTAACGGTACGCATGATTTGGAAATCCTGCAGTCGGCCAATAGGGCCTGGAAGTCTTGCCAGTCGCCTCTTCCGGTACTAAGCTGGTTCCCGGCTCCCTTTGCGCGCGCCAACTTGCTATATGCGAGACACGGCCAAGCTTATTTCCGGTACTAGATTTCCGATGACAAGCGTATGTTCAAGAACCAGTTCTGGTTCCAAATTGCGCGACCGCCAAATATGACTTTACTAGACCCACACTCCATCGCAGTGATGACTTAGCATAACATCACTGCCACAGGCTGTTTTGCATATCACGTGACCTGACTTTTCTCTTGTTTGTAAACAAACGCACACATTCGTAAATAAGAAGAAACGGGCCTAACGCAAGCTTTTCGGCGCGCTCTTCATGATGTTTTACATTGTTACATAAATAATCTCCTACAATTGCGACAGTTAGGTCTAGGACAGTACATATTTAGATATCAAAGGGGCTGGATCGTTTGCTCTCCGTCGGCTTCGATGACAGCACGTGAAGCCGTACAACCTATGTAAACAAAGGATCGCTACGCAAATCGAAATAGTGTTACACGTTTTAGGATATTTTCGCAGCGAAACTAAACCATTCTAGCAAAGATGTTTAATTAGATGTGTAGACTCGTCAAAAATAAAAGAGTTAAAGAGATATGTACATTATATTGAATGGACTGTGTAGGATGTGATCAATCGTCACATCTTTCTGGCCTGTGGCAGAGATAATATATTGGTCGCATGGAAGGAGAGTGTACTAGACCGGACCAAGTGTACAACCATGCTTGGTTGTCACAGCTGTTGACAGTCGTGATAGTTGGCTTACTGTCAAACTGACAACCATGAGACCATTCGAAAAGGTATGAAACGCGACTAAGGTCTTGCGAAGTGCCGTGACCTAATTACGGGACCTATAACTAATGGGCAGCTTACGAACCGAATGTCGATTTCGTTATATGATTTTGACTGAACGACGGAAAGACTCGATGATCCAGCCAAACTCCATAATTCCAGCCAAGTTCAGCAAGGGTGGAAACTGGGCTTTCATAATCAGTTATCTCCCTTGTCACTAGAAGATGCGTCTTACGTGAAGTAATGTTTTTGTTTGTCTATCGGTTGTGCGACCAAACCATGTCATTCCTGTTGAAAGAACCTATATTCATTCAACTCATTTTATATTAGGACAGGAATTAAGACAAGATTATCTAAATGATTTTGCGAACTTTTATTATAATCTTAAGATTATGTTCCATGTGGTCATTTAAGGAGAAAAATATGTCCTAAGAATAAAATCATGCTTATCTAGATACTGAGTAAAACAATAAATTATATGTTTGTGTCGCCTGATTAAATTAATGTTTGTATTAGTAGGACTTATTTCACCAGGATTTCTATATTTTGCGCAACTTATTGGTGTCTTGGTGTACTTTCTTTTGGACGTCACTACAACTGGGATGTTGCTGGCAGCGGTAACATACATATAGTCTCATTTCATTTTACAGTACCCTCTGAACAGATCCTATGTGGAATATGTTACACGTGAACCACAAAAGCAGAAACCGAAACCGTACAGCCACATCCCTTCCAAGGTATGTAACACTGACTGACTGACTGAGTTTGGTTTTACGCCGCTTTTAGCAATATTCCAGCAACATCACGGCGGGGGGACACCAGAAATGGGTTTCACACATTATACCCATGTGGGGATTCGAACCCGGGTCTTCGTCGTGACGAGCCAATGCTTTAACCATTAGGCTACCCCACCGCCCCAGGTATGTAACAATTTGTGCTTATTACAATGAGTAATGAACCTCTGCACGTATACATAGCTCAAGACAATCACAGATGAACATCAGTCCCATTTAAAAATGCTATTTTGAAAATTATTGGCATGAGCGCCCACAGAATTCGAAGCTTCATATATGGATCTCAAAATGAACGTGAACAGGCAGTCCGAGAGCAGAATAAAGGTCGTGTTATAATGGTATATTGTAATATGTTGTGGTTTTTGAACGCTAAGGTATTTCCACTCAAACTCTCACGAGAGAACGTCTGTTTCTTCTGCTCAGAACGGTATTTCCGATTTCAGAACAGAGATGATTAAACAAATAATCGAATCGTTTCAGAAAATAACTGACATCTGCTTGACTTTACACTGTGCTCTCCTTTTTATCACTGGGTGGTTAGAATTCACCTGACATGACCTATTCACGGTTTTGCCAATCTTGACCACGAGAGACAACGCAGAGAACAAACATTGTAAAGATACTGTGTAAAGATAACTTGATGTATTCCCTACAGGTGCGAACCACGCCCACATCCACCACCCCACGTGTTGATGTTGTCCACGTGGTCCAACTCACCAATGGTCAACTCGTCCCAATGGACAAGGTACATTCGTCGATGTGACTCAACTTGTCATATGTCTATTGCTTATGTTCGTGTTTCCATCTCTGTATATTTTCTATCAGTATCAGTTCGGATACATTGAACACTCAGATCTCAACTTTGATTGTCTGGCACTAAGTAAGGATATATACTTAGTACAAAACGTGAAGTGTCACTTAAATCGTATGAGCACATTGTTAGGGAGCAATTGTAAACTTGAGGATACATTTATCTCATTCTGACAAGCAATGACACAGTCAAATACATGTCAATTCGTTATGCACGCGACCCATGAAGATTCGGGTTAGAATTGCTCTTCAGTAACCCATGCTTGTCGTAAGAGGCGACTAACGGGATCGGGTGGTCAGGCTCGCTGACTTGGTTGACACATGTCATCGGTTCCCAACTGCGTAGATCGATGCCCATGCTGTTGATCACTAGACTGTCTGGTCCAGACTCGATTATTTACAGACCGCCGCCATATAGCTGGAATATTGAATATTGCCAGTCCCGTTAGTCGCCTCTTACGACAAGCATGGGTTGCTGAAGGTCAATTCTAACCCGGATCTTCCTGGGTCCAAACAATTCAGAAGTTGGATAAGGTACAAGTAGTGATCAAAGCGAACTGATCCTACACACGCTATTGAATTATTGGTTCTTCTACACTGATTGTGCTAGGTACCTTTCTGGAACACTGTCTTTTATTCAACCCTGTTTGGCACTGACGGTTAAGGTTTTTAAGCATTCTTTTCTTTGAACGTATGTATGTTCTTCGAATACCGCGTGGCAACAGCATATGAGGTGTATAACCGACATGTTTTGGTTGTTTGCTCCTAACATTCATTCTGTTCTCTATGAAGCTCTCGTCGTTTTTATAACATGTCTTTTTTAAATTTGAATAACGTTTCAAACATTGTGTGGCGTAACCTTTTTCCAGAAAATACATCGTTACTACAAATGGGAGCATGACGTCCTCGTGAAGACGACAAACAGAGTTTTTGAGAGACATTATAACTCACTTCACATATGCGTTGCACAAATATGTACTTCTAACAGTTATTCGTATTGCTCTTGAATACATCCAAACTCTAAATACCGCCCAAGCATAGGCGGATCAAGAGAGGGGTGCAGGAGTGCCCCCACTTTTTTTTTGCCCTGAAAGTATACTAAATGACCATTGAAACTCTTATGAAAATGAACTGTGCACACACTCAACCCCCCACCCCACCCTACACACACACACACACACACCTTTCTCAAACAGCTGTATCCGCTCCTGCCAAAGACGGTGTATCTAGATCTAGCTCTAGATATTCCAGTATGACTGACTAGCACCTATATATTTTGACTATCATCTATACATATCTCAGTGCGACCGTCTGGCACCCACACGTCTGAGACTGTAGCACCTTCTGTGTGTTCCAGTACCTGAGGGAACATCCTGGAGCCCGTCTGGAGACCCTGGGGGATAGGGACGTGGTGTATTCCCCGACAAACAAGACTGAAAATAAACCAAGACTCGCATGGAAGACTAATGTAAGTAGTGTATTAACAAATAAACCCCTATAATTCGGAAACCTTACAATCTGGACGATTACTCACTGAACCGAACACATGCTAAGTGTCATCACTCCAGATGTTTGAATGAATCTTCAACCCTTACTCCCTAACCATGGATCGTGTTTAGACATAGTCTTATGTGTACATCATGTTGTAAGTATCTGTTCTTTTTAATTCATTCGCACACACACAATTGCTCACGACACCTTTATGAATCTACGGGGTGGTGAGGTAGCCTAGTGGTTAAAACGTTTGTTCGTCACACCGGTTCGATTCGACATGGGTACAATGTGTGAAGCCCATTTCTGGTGTCCTCCGCCGTGATATTGCTGGAATATTTTGTTAAGAGCGGCATAAAACCATACTCATTCACTGACTGGCTCTTTTTCTTCCTGTCTCAGAACAAGAAGACTCCCCCACCTCCTGTTGTAGCGTCACGTGACAGCAACTCCACCGACCCCGTCGTTGTCACCGTGATGAACGACCTGAACTACAACCATCCCGAAAAGGAGAAGGACAAGAAACCAAAGGCGGTACGGTGTTACTATGTCCACGTGTAAATGGTATTTAAAGCAGGAAAGTGTGTATTCCGTTTGTGAGCAGGAGCGGTGAATTATAGTCCCCTACATTGCTGAGCCTGATCTTTGGCCCCTGGACTAGGATGCCATCTCCTGACATTGGTGTAAGAGTAACCGTACAGGATTAACTTAACCATTGACCGCAGCCACATAACTGGCTTATTGCTGGGTGCGCCTTAAACGACAAACAGAAAACCAAACCATTAAAGCTACAAGCATGGTCTAGGGCCGTTAAGCGACGCTCAAGCAGAGTTACCTGCCGTAACTGTCAGGATCCGCTTACAATCTTGATACCCAAAGAGGTAAAACTCCTTCACTCCTTACGTCACTTTTGTTTGACTAAGCAGTAAGTCTATACCAGACGGGCCAGTGATTGGTCAACATGATGACAACTGATCTACCCGCTTGGGATACGATGACGTGCATCAAGTAAGTCAGCGAGTCTGACCACCCAATTTTGGGACATTCCTTCCACATGAAATTTATTTGCCGTTATGTTCTAGAAATACGATGTTCAACACATATTACTCAAACAATATAAATCTAATTCTTAAGATATAGCACAATTCTCACCTAAAAACAACTTTATTTGACGTATATTTATCAAATCTTACCATCAGGCCAGTAAGAAGATCCCTCTCCAGCCACAACAGCCTAGTCACGTGATCGGGATCAACACACAAGCTGGCGCGGCTAGACGGCCACGGGAAGAAGACGTTAAGCCACCGAGAGAAAGGGTAAGACATCATAAGGGACAGATTCTTGATTGAAGTAGTGGATTTGTCTGTTTGTAGATTCGACCTGACCAAGATGTAGATGTAACTCTGGATAATATTAAAAATTCTTATCAAAGTATCATTAACTTGCAGAAAGATAAATCCACGAAAGAAGTGGAGGAAAACAACTCGAAAGTCGGCAACGACCACCATCCGGACAACGACACCAAGGACGACAGGGGTTCAAAAAGAGACGACGACGATGATAGCGGCATTAATGTATGCAAATGGCCGTATATTCAACAGAGATTCAATATGTATACGTGAACCGTTTGCATGTCGTCTGGCCTATATCAAAGTCTAGTAGCCTTTCAAGCCTACTACCGCCTCCGTGGTGTAGTGGTTAGAGCGTCCGCCCGGAGAGCGGAAGGTCGCGGGTTCGATCCCCGACCGCGTCATACCAAAAGACGTTAAAATATGGTACTTGTTGGTCCCTGCCTGGCGCTCGGCATTAATGGGTACAACAAGGACTGGTCGGCTCGGAGTCAGTATACTGTGTCTGAGTGGGGTATTAATGCTTCACTGCGGCATGGTATCTCAGTGGGCTAGCACTATAAAACCAGCTTCCGTCTGGGCTAGTACAAGCAGCCGCACATACACATACACACGCATGCACGTCGTCATATGAGCGAAATATTCTCAAGCACGACGTAAAACCCAATTTCACCTCACCTTGAAGCCTACTTATCAGTGCTAACATATGAGAGGACTAAACATTTCAGAAAATCAAAATCCGGATTCTCAAGACGCAATTGCTCGTTTTGGCAACCATCGCCTGTCGAATTTGCGCTGAAATATTTCAAAAGGTTAAGCAAAGGAAAGGTGGAGGTGATGAAATATGTTGTCTGTATGCCTCGGTTTCTGTACGTGGAAATGCGGCAATAAGTACATTCACCATTATAATCTGTCATTTTGTTCTTTCTCTGGGTCATTATCTCAAATCTTTATCAGATTGATCAGGTTGTCTGCTCATCTTTGAGAAGCCATTAGAAAAAGGAGCGGCGATCGGATCGGATATCGCGTTTTTCCAAAAGAGACACAACTCGCAACATCACGATTACGCCAAGAAGTAGCTTTGAAATGGCAAGGCTTTGAAAACTGGGCTTTGATATAGCTAGTGAGACACTCTTGTCCTACGAAGATGATGTATATAAATAGACCTTTATCAAGGTAAAATCATAACACATGCAGTTATTAGCATAAATCTATTATGTGTATTCAAAGAAAAGATTGAACCAACCAAGTTCAACATTTTACTGAGGTTTTCCGTACGACATATTTCTTTATATATTATAATAATACACAGTATTTTGAAAGCTCGTAAATGAAATACGTTGATTTTACTTGAGTTAGTTGCGAGCAGGTTGTTGACACTTTAGTTTTCATCCTAGAATGAGTCAGAGCCAGGAGAGCCAATCAGAGCGCAATACGTCAGATCCGGTAGCACCCTGGTAAGTGTACGTCTATGTAACTGTAGATGTGGTCTAAAAATATTGTGTACATATCGTAACTTGATTTAATTAAAATTGACTTCATTATCGGTGTCATGTTGACTGACATTTGTGTGTTAATCGAAAACAAATACAATCATATATCATGATCGCTGACTTGTCTCCTCTTGCTTCCAGGACTTTGACCTTGACCTTGAAGACAACAATACACCACCCCATGGTACTAGACCAGAGTTCAAGAGACACGCCTTCGCTGTGTTAGATCACAACAGGACGAAACGGGCCAGGGAATTCCCTGCCTGGAGACCCCACGCCAACCCGGTCCGAAACATCAACACAAGCACCCAGTGATGACGTTATAAAACTATAAGGCATCCGGTGGAATATCGAAGAGTTATCATGCGAAAAGCTAGTATAAATATGGAACACCTAATCTTGTTGATAGATGTACGACACGTTCTGGTAGTTGTACCAGCGGACCTTATGACACCGTGTGTAGATTTATGAAGGTGTCGTGGGCAATTATGTATGTACGAAGCGGTTGAAAAGTACATAGAGCCTCTAAGGTTTTAGGATTTTAAGCAGGTGTAGACAATCTCGCACAATAACAGTATTAGATGTGTTAGACGCTTTAAAGGAGCTAGCGTTTGACTTTTTAAGGGGTTTTGGCTTTAGATCTTTAGGTACTATACTTTAGAGTCCTAATCTCGCATAAGTGATGAGTGAGTGGGTCATTTCAGTTTTACGCCGCACTCAGCAATATTCCGGTTATATGACGGCGGTCTGTAAATAATGGCGTCTGGACAAGACAATCCAGTGATCAACAGCAAGCGCATCGATCTATGCAATTGGGATACGATGACATGTGTCAATTAAGTCAGCGAGCCTGACCACCCGATCCTGTTAGTCGCCCATAAGCGATGAAGTAGTCGTTGACGGATGTTGCTAATTGTCTGTAACATTACATCTGGTTTGGTGGATGATTGGAAGATATTTGTTTCAGCATTTATTTCAGTGAGCACAGGAGTGAGTTTTGTTTGTTGCTTCTTTGGACAGTGTTTCATTTGGTGTAGGTTCAGGCGTCCATCACGTTGGAGAAGCCGACGGGCACGGGGATATCCAAGGTTCTTAAGGAAGGACAGAATAGTGCGTTGTTGAAAAGGAATCCGAGAAAGCATATGCAGTTCTACAGTCGTTTATAAATAGTTTTATGTGTTGTGTCAGTTGATGAAAATTAGGTAAGTCAACAATGTACATGACCTATGGACGTGTGTTTTCGTATATTTTTATGACATGCTGCCAGTTGTTGACTCACTCAGACACCCTATCTAATGTTGTCGGAGACAAAGAGAGCAAAACGCTTTGGTTAGATGTATTCGTCTGACCATCGGAATGACTTAAGACTGGGTCAAACAAACTGTAATGGACAGGCGACATAGTATCGAATCACATTTATCATGAATGCGGCACGGTGCGTGGACGAGATTTGTCATCAGTGATTGCTCAAGTATTGTCGCACTACGGGAAGTTGTTCCAGCATGATACTGCAAGACACCATACTGCCAGACTGACTCAGGTTGACGTAAGAACAGAGGATGTAGTGATTTCCACAACTTGGGTTATCAGGCAAGACCACAAAATACAATCAAGCCCCAGGTAAATGTGCAGCAACTGGAAGTAAGTTTTCTCATGCATCCATCATTTGCTTCTTCGATGAGCCGGCGGTAGCAAACTTGCATTGATTCCTATATGTCACACAAGATGTTAACATTTAACACGGTATGGAAACTGAATTTCACGATTTTCTAGAAAGTTGTGGAATTCTGTAAAGTGGCGTTTGTCTTCTGTGATGTCTCGGAGGTCTGGTCATCACCTGGGAGTGCAGTCTGTGTACTGGTGTTGTGTTTACAGATGAAACGTAACGAAAATACATTTTGAATGCAGGACAGTATGCTGTTAGTTTATTGGCGGTTTAACATGATGTATTCTTTCTTTGACACGTCTGTTTGTGTTGGTCAAACATTTCTAAACAGAATGTCTTTTACTGAAATAGATCTCTAACCATCTATCTGACATTTGTTCCAAATTACCATGTTTGCGCATAGATTCCCCACATGGGTACAATGTGTGAAGCCCATTTCCGGTGTCCCCAGCCGTGATATTGCTGGAATATTGCTAAAAGCGGCATAAAACCTTACTCACTCACTTTCGCATTACAACCATGTTGTTCCGTTTAATGCCGATATATATATATATATATAAAACATATTTGAGACAAACGCCAAGTGTACACTTTTGTACATTAGCGTATTTGTAAGTTTTCATTGACAAATCTTATCAGAGGCATTCTTCTCTATATCGCAGTTATATTTTTCAAAGCTTTTCCATACTGTTGAAGCGTCATGTAAATAAATAGTTTTTTCACCTGATATTTTTTGCAACATGTACAAAATCATGTTTTTGTTGTTGGTCGACGTTAAGCCCTTTCGTATTTACTATTATCGACAAGCAATCTGTGATAGACGACAGTTTTATTTCATAAAATAAACTTATTATAGACAAAAACGTTTGAGTCTCTTTATTACGTATGGTCCCTATGTGTCTATATTCAAGACTTGATCCCCTTTATTTATTTATCTGATATCCCCTTTATCGACAAACAATGTGTGATGGCCGTAAGTTTTATGGAATCCTAGAACGGACATTGTCGCGTTGTCGCCCTCTCAAAAACAAGCAAAAAGAGGCAAAATTAACCAAAGCGGGACAATGCGACAACGCGACATTTCGGCCATTTGTCGCTTTGTCGCTATGTCGCGTTTTGAATATATTCTATTCATCCAAAGGGCATTTTTCTAACATAGCGACAATTTTCAAGGTTAAAATATCGCGTTGTCGCCACATCTAAGATGTTTGAAAAAAAAAAGCCTAAAAATGCACGACAATGCGACAACGCGACATAATGATTATGTCGCATTGTCGCCCTTTTCGATTACCTGTGCGCATGTGTAGAAAGTCAATTAGTCTACGCATGCGCAGGAAATGTTATACTCTATTTCAGACTTCTGTTGTCTTTTTGTTACCTCCAGTGGTTTTAAAAACGAAGTAGTACTCACAATGGCAATGGGGGCTGCTTTTCTTTTATATTATAAAATAATATTATTTTCATTATATTGTTTGTGTCTCCATGTAGCTTTGCATCGTGCTTATGACATGCTTATGACTCAAGAACTGACTTGTAAACGCAAGTTATTCTTTTCTCTGAAACAGCAAACATCGATATGTACAAATCATGCTGAGTTTTAGACTGGCATGGATATTAATAAGACATTTGACATACCACCTGTTGAAATAAACGGGTGGTATACAGAAATTTAGGACGGACAACCTATTGGGTTAAGGGGGGATAATGTTCTTTCGAGATTCAGTGACCCCGTCAATCGAATCGTTAATCACTGAGTGTTTTGACAGATTCGGTCATGGTTTGCGGTTCGATCAAGGAGGATGCCAATCATCTCGCAAGACATTTCATTTGAAGCCTATGGCGTTAACTAGCCGTAAAACGTCCAGGTATCGAAACACACATACGTTTATGTACCTTTCTATTCAAATTACTAACGCTATCGGTGATTTCCCATACCGCGCTTTGTCCACTTAGACACAGATGCCCTCACTTATAAGGAAACTACGCTCGGACATCCTGACTGTTCTTGAATATTGGAGGCGCACCTACAACCTAGCGGTTAAAGCGTACGCTCGTCATGCAGAAAGTTCGAGTTCAAGATACTATGTGTGAGTACTATACGTGCAGCCCAGTTCTGGTGTCCCTACACACCCATCCCCACCCCAACCGTGATATTGTTGGAATATTGCTAAAAGCGCGTAAAGCCATACTCACTCCCAAAACATGCAAGTCTTCAAAATGCTCAAGCCTTGCATTTTTCTTACTGAACTTTTATGTGAACTGTCGTACAAAGAAAAGGAGATCACCTGTTGTTTTGGAGGTTTTTTTCCAAAGAACAAAGTAACTATTTGAGAAAAAACCTTTTGACCACACCACACATATCATTTCTAAGCATTATTACCTTAACCCAAATTTTCACAGGAAAAAATGAATAAATGTTATAAATCTTACACAATGCAGTAGTACGAAAATCCTAAGCCATGTAGTGGAGCACTGTCGGCCTTTAAGAATGCATGATGTTGAACCAACGACAACGTGACCTCAGAAAATATCCGTTAAAGTGACGAGTTTCTCTTAAAGCCACCAGTGAAGATCCGGGTTAGAATTGGTCTTCAGTAACCCATGCTTGTCGTAAGAGGTGACTGACGGGATCGGGTGGTCAGGCTCGCTGACTTGGTTGACACATGTCATCGTATTCCAATTGCGTAGATCGATGCTTATGCTGTTGATCACTGGATTGTCTGGTCCAGACTCGATTATTTACAGACCGCAGTCACATAGTAGGGCTATTGCTGGGTGCGGCGTAAACCAAATTAAGATTTAATGCAGCTATACAAAAAGACTTTCTGTGAGTTTGTCTGATCGGCCTGTCGAATAAACTGATCAGACATACGTTGAAAGAAATTAGAATTTTCGAGCATGTGGGTTATAGCTTAAATAGGACAAGACGCATTCGTCAAGAATAGGTTTAATCCATACAATGCGATGAATATACATTATTTACCAATCTATTTACTGAACTGTTATGGACAATAACTGAGTATGTTCTTTTATTTACGACTTGTAATCAGTTTAACCAGTGGGATACGATGCATGTATAAATATTAACGCAAACAGGAAGACGGCCATTTTGGCCATAAAGAATATACATGCTGGTATAATGTCATCGGAAGCAGAAATAGTACTATACAAGAGGCGTTTGAAATGGTAATTGGGAATTAATTTAATTATTCCATTTGATTGTTGTTACGAATGTGTTGATTGAAACAACAGGGGTTAGACAAGACAGCATTTTACGGGTCTGGCAAGTCAATAAGCCATTCATGGCGCCATCTTGATTAAACCACAGGTGTCTCTTCAGCAGGTACAAGGTATAATAGAACCAATAACAAATACTAGTAGATCATATCTTGCCAACATAAACTACCCGTACCACAAGAGGCGCTTCTCCACCCTGCCAACACCGTGACGACACAAACACAATGACAGTCGCTCATCTGCAGACAATAGCGCTCTTTTAACGGACCTTTGGAAATTTGTTATGCTCTGTCGGGGAGACACCATAGCATACGTATATATACACAGAGAGGCATAGAAGTATAGAGAAGGGTTATCGATATAAACCGAGCTGGTTTATCTCTAGAAAAAGATGTCGTTGAGAAACATTGCTATCATTGTTGGAATGTTGAACATTCAAGGTATGACATTAATAGTTAACTAACTATCTATTATGTTTTGGTTCTTTTGAACTATGTTTGATTTTTCTTTGTCGTGTGTGTGTGTGTGTGTGTGTTGTTTGTTTGTTTTCGATTTTGTCGTCTTCTTACGTAAAGTAATATGTTTTTGTAGTAAAAATGAATGTATGTATTTTCCAAACAGAAACATGGGTAATTGTCTTGAATACTTGTGATGCTGATAAAACTAAGTAAAGCATTCCCTCCTAAAGAAGAATATCATGTTTTGATAGCTCCGTTTGTGAGGTTGTGAATGAAGTGATATTGTTTCTTTTTTGTTTGTTTACTAACTTTATCTGTGTACTAAACTGTCCATTATGTTATTTGCTACTGGAAACCTGCCTCATATTTTTAAGAAGAGTTGTGTGGTAAATTGCC